GAATTTCAAATGTATTCTTGACTATGGAATTTTATTATTACATATATATATATAGGAAATACCAGGATAAAATGAAGTATAAAAAAATCAGGCATATCCTACTACTGATGCATGGGGGACGATTATTATTTAAACGTATTAATTAGTACAGTACAAAGTCCGTAATCCAGATGTCCATTATCCGGAATGATTTATAATCCGAACCTCAAAGCCCCAAACTTACGCATGCGTGTTTGATGCACGCGTCCACTACGCATGCGCGTAAAGCCAGTACAGCGTTTACCCATGTGCGTTTCCGATAGTGAAGAAAATAACACAGAACATTATTGAAAACGAAAAAATTTCAATTGACAAGTTAGTTGGTATTTTCGACACAGCAATTACAGGACTTTAGCGGTGGAACTTTGTAACTGAACAAGAAATTATGTCTGTTTATACAATTAAAGAGAAAGTATTAGCATAAAAAATGAAGCAAACTTAACAACTTACATTGAAACAAATGTTTACTAAAAAGTAAACAAATAAATATTTAGCTTATATATATTATATTTTTTGTAAATTTTGTTATCCTTTAGATCATAATTGCTCTTTATTTCATAAATTACGGTTTCATATTTGTAATTGTATAATTTTTGCATGTCAACTTACCAGATTTAAATTGATGATCTACAATCCGGGAAAAACCCCTAGTCCGGAATTGCCGAAGTCCTGACGAGTCCGGATTACAGACTTTGTACTGTATAAAATAAATGCCTAAAAATTTTTTGTAGTAACCTTTAAACCAATTCTGAAAAGCAAAACTCAAATTATTATGGGTCTAATGAAAACCACAAAAATTCTGCTAGGAAGTTTTGGGAGAACAGGAAAAAAAAATTTTTCTTTTAAGTACCACCTAAATATGATGGATGTGAAGAAGCTCAATTAGACAACTGGGAAGTTTGAACCTTGTTACAGCATTACAGAGTAAAAGCAACACTTTCCTGCTAAGCTTGCCAAAGTATGTTATCATTATATACCTACTCACAATTGAATCTCCAGATTAGCATAGTAAATATCTGTTATCTTGATATTGTGTGGCATAGGATGAAATAACAGTTCCAAAAAATATTGCAGAATTCCTTCAATGAATATGTGGATATTGAATTTGGGGGGGGCAAAGGGAGATTCACTGTGTTTACATAATATGCTCTCTTATTTGGATTCTGGTGCAGTTTCTTTCCTATCGCCAGCTCTCAAGAAAATTTTATCAGCACATATTACAAAGAAACATTCTTGAGAATATTTGTCCCCATGCAGCTTCATTTTTAGTGTCAGTTCCTAGGTACTCATCTGGTGGCTTTTAACGCAGGACTTCTACTGATATAAAAACATGGTAAAAATGTTGTTTAGCCCACTAGTTGGCATGATTTCGAAAATCGGCAAGTTTCGTGCATTTTGTGCACTGTCTCTTTTAGGTATAACTTTCCATAAGCTTGTACTCATACAGTTTTTTACATCAAATTCTTAGAACATTCTTCTGAAGCTGCCATTCCGGCAAAGCATAACTCCTTTTCCTTAATTGTTTCAGATATTTATTTTTAATTATCATCTCCAAAAGTCCTTTTAATTTTTATAATTATTCGAATAAATTCAAATACGCTTATAGCTTACAACGAATCATAATATATTCAAATAGCTTATTCGAATAAATTTGAATAAGCTCTGAAACTGATGTAACCAGCCTTCCTTAAGTGGTCAAACCATCATTGACTAACACGCATGCCTGATGTCACAGGTGACACCAATATCAAAAAGCTCTCCCTCACCCCATTTTGAGAAATGTTGCCAATCTTGGCACGGTTATCACCACTTGGTGTAATAAGAAGGCTAAGCATTCCACCAAAAATATTAATGCTGATTTCTGTAGCAATCTGAAAAACTGTCGCAATCAATGCCATCTTCAACTGATGCTTCCCAATCTAAAATATGACAGCTCAACAACTGACAGCTGCATAGGAAGGTGCTATGTCATTATAAACTGCAACCATACGTTCTTGAATAGGTGTTAGTGTTGGCTTTCTTTGGGAAGGATGATGATTGGGTTCTTGATTAGAACTCAATCATGGAATGATTCTGTTAACAATAAAAATATCAAACATCAGTGACTGACATTTAACAGATTCTCAAAGATCAAATAACACCTGCTGTATGTATTTCATTTTTATGTTTCCAAAGAATGATGCAATCATTCACCACCACATTTTGTTATCCAACAAACAACACACTTAGGCTCAAAACTTATTGAACCAACCTCTAAATCTTTTAATCGTATGAATAACTGAATATTTGAAGCACACAAAGAGCCACCACCTCAAGTAGGCATAGTTTTAAACCCAAAACTGAAAGGCTTAAGTATATGGCCTATCACAGCATTAAAATAGAAAATGAGGTGTTGGAGTCTGCATAGATCTCTCAATTCAGGATCTTTCCCATACTTTACCACAATGCAGCTTTGTTTCCTGAAAATCCCTGAAAGGCATTTTAATGAGCTCTGCACAGCTGTATCTCACAAGCAGTTAACTAATTGCATCTGAATGTGAGTTGTTTGGTGTCAACAATGTTTAATAAAAATTCTATTAGTCTACTCTCCACATAAAACAATCACTTGCAAACATGGAAATAAGTATGCAAATGGTTTGCAATGAGATCTGGTGGTTCATCCAGCTAAGAAAGATTCACATGCACAAGGTGTCTAAATAAAATACATCTTACAGCATGATAATTTGCATATGTTGCTCATTAAATGGATACATACAGCTTCACACATTCTGCTTGAAATAGCTTAAAGCATAATTCACCCAACCAAGCCATAAAGTACCATTCTCAGTCCAATGATAATATCCTCTAGCCAAGATAACGCATACAGCAATAACACTATTACCTAAATTAATTAATGACTGTTAAACACAACACATGCTGTGCAATCAGTTGACTGACAGCTCAGCAAGCGCTAGCACTGAGCTACACTATTATCAGATGAACTCCCCTTTGCTGAGTGATTCTTCTCTTCTTCTGAAGCAGAAGGTCTCATTCTAAAACCACTTTAGTCACTTGCTCATGGCAAGTTTGGCACATGTTTTCATATGCTGCTGATGCCTGCCATGAATTAATATGTTGATATGATCACTTGTCTGAAGAAGTCAGACCTAAGCCCACGAAATTCCTTGTGGCAATGAGTGCTATGATACGTTTGCCGTTGGCAACAGCCTTGAGCGCCATTTAGGTTACAGTGTGATTTAGTTCGATTCTGTCGCTAGTTTTGATGGAAAGCACCCTGGGAAGACAGGCCTGAGGGTCTCCCACTCCCTTCCGCTTCCACCAAACCACACAAGAGGTCTTTCGGCTTACTGCATATTTAGAGCACCACCATGCCACACCAACACTATACATTTACAAACATCCATACCTTCTCCGGGATTCGAACCCGGGTTTTTTGGCACAGCAGTCAGCAATGCTAACCACTATACTAGTCGGCATCAATTAACATAGTACCGCTTGTTATCCGTAAAAGCCCAAAAGCATTCATTAATTTGGAAATGGATTTGGCTGACCATTTAGCTCCTACAAAGAAATGACGACAAATCATACATACTTCAACCCTTTTGGACCTAATGGGTACATACATCCCAGATATTATATTTCATTATCGATTGGGTCACTTTTAAATGGGCTTTTACGTTTGCAATGTTTTTAAGGAATTGGGGAACAAATACACGACTAAAGAAACCTGGCAACATTTTTAAGTTGCAAATGGCGTACTTATGTTTTTGAGCAAGAAGACTACTTAAATTTTGTTTATTTTTTTTTTAATTTTACAGTAAATATAATTATACATAAGGCATGCTTAGTATGAAATAGTTCTTAAGTAGTAATTTAACTCTTTTAATGTCAGATTTAAGAAATTTTGCATAAATCCTTTTTTTGAATATATTGTCCCAATTGTATTAAACAGCGGATTAATACAGCCTACCAGTGATCAAATTACTACATGCTGATTTATTGTGTTTGTTTGTGAAACATATATGAAAATTTCTGTTGTATATGAACTGGTGCATGTGACAGAGTTTATGTTTTTCAATATTCACATTATATATTACCACAAATTTTAGTTTTGTTTTCTGAGAAAGGGTAATATCCTAGATGACTGGGACAAAGAGTCCCAGTTGAATATACAATTGGGACATACTGTCTCAGGAGATTTCCAGGAAACGGAAAAAGTTAAAGCTTTAAATTCATATTACACTTCTTTTATTAGGTCAACATTAAACTACTTTTCATAGTTAAATTTTTAATCATGCAAAATTCGGGTTGAAAGGGTTAAATCACTAAACCTCTCTTGAAGTGCAATTTCTAATACAAACAATGGTTTTGTCATAAATCCATTATTTAGATAGAACGGTTTCAAAGGCAGAGACACAGTAAGAATCGTAAAATGAAGCTATACCTAATATTCTGGCATTTATTCATTTCTTTCACCTTTACAAAGGAATCACTGTCACAAGGAGAAAAGTGCATATTACTAAGTTTCCTGAATTCCACATGTGAATAAAACTTAAGTACTCTTCAACACTGAAGACGAATTTCAAGCACCCTAAAATGATCATCTCTGTTTTTAAGGACCCTAGAATGGTTATCCGGTTTTTCAAAGCAAGAGCTACAGACATTCCTTTTAAAATCTTAAGATACAAGCACTAAACAGAATTTATCAAACAATTATTTCATATACTCATATAACAAATTCTAAATCGCATAAAAAATATAGTCCTTATAAAAAAAAGGACTGAAAGGAAGGAAAAAGAAAATTGAATAACAATGTAATGATTTATCTATACTAATTTTGAAAAGGAATTTAAACAAAGCTATAATGTTACCAACAGTTATATTTAAATATGCAAGGAAAAAACACACATACTTTTACCTTAAAATGAATATACACTAAATTACTTTCTAACAATCCTTACTTGAATACTGACCTGTTGCAGAATTTCTGGATGTTGCTTCAAAACTCTTAAACATGTCTCTTCTTCACGTTGATCAGAACCACTTGTACGTCGCTGTTTCCCAGCCCTCATAACCTTTTTAAATATGTATGTAACTAAATGATCTAATGCAGCACAGCATCCAGCACATACCATTGTATCTAAACAACAGGGAAAGTTTTATGATTAGTATACCTACCTATGTACCTAAAAGAGTAAAAAAAAGGTCTAATACATAAGCAGTTGCATACCTGATGATGATAAGCCTTCTGAAATAGATGATAAAATGTATAAAAATAGCTGTGGTTCTAAAGTGCTTAAGAAATTCATATGATCCTGGGCAAGACATTCTAACAAAACATAGTATGTTTGGCTTAATTTTGGATAATGCTGCAAGGCAAAATCTTAATTATAAAAAAGAAAAATTTAGAAATACATAAAAAAGTGATCAAAAATTATTTTCACTCTTTTAAATTTATGAACAATGAAATGTTACAGAGGAATACAAATATAAACTGGTGCTCAAAATTAAACAAAATGTTCATGAAAGGGTAAAAAAATTTACGAAGACACTTTCTGTTATTTACAAGTTGAATGATTGTAAATCAGTGCTGCTAATGCCAAACTACATACAAATATAAAACATAAGAAACTGTGCCTCCTCTGTTCTTGAAGATATGATTATTTAATGGATGTATAATCTTTTATGATGGAAATGCACACTTCACATGATTCATTAATCAACACTTGCACCAGGAAATCGATACAAGTACTGGCAGCAAATGCAGAAGTGCACTTTGCAATTAATGGTATTCTACTTGGCTTCTATTCCTCAGAACTTTTTTTCAATCCCCAAGGGCATTTGCAACTTTGAGCATAATGACACAGAAGAGGCTTTGCTCTTCCCAACCTTACTACCAGATGACATAACAGCCAACCTTGAAATCTTCAAAACCAGGAAATTTTTGTGAGAAAACCAGAAGTTTCATGCTGCACAGTGACAGCATTTCGAAGGAACTCCAGACTGACATATCACTTTATAATACATGGTTCAGGTTATTGATTTTTTTTTTTTTTAAATCTTGATGGCAAATAATATCAGCATTTAACTGGATATTCTAAACAAAGAATTTAAATTGGGAGAAGTAAAGCTTCAACAGCACAGCAGCGCCAAGGAGAAAAATTCGGTCTAAAATGCGTAAGGTGCTGACAAACTTTACAGGCGTAAAAACAGACCTTGAAATTCACCCAAGACTGCTATCCAAAACCATTGGCAATATCAGAGAACCTGTCAGAAAACTATACTGTTTTAAAGATATGAATTCTTTGCCTAAAACTTATCATTCTTACTTCCTTAATTTTAGAAATATGCTTAAGTTGACAGCTTTAATTTTGTTAAGAATCCATTTCACGACATGAGAAGGTGATAAAAAAAATTGCAGGTAATGAGCAATGGAATTTGAAACTCTCATTGGAACATTTTATTTTAAAATTATAACCCAGATTATTAAAGAAATTAGGAACATCTGAAAGTATCTAAGTATGAAGTTTTCTTATGCAATGCAGATTACCTGCCTTACTTTTAAAAAGCGATGGCTACTGTGGCGACTCTGTAAACATGTGTTGTACTCGCCAACCGCGCGCCATTATCACTAACTGTAACCGAAGGTGGTTTCGGTGACACACAGTCACGTCTCGTCGTCGGTGCGGTTGGTCGCTCGTTTTCCTCCAACGTGATTCTCTATCGACTGTAGTAATTAAGTTTTAATATTGTGACGTGATTAAATGTTTTTGTTATCAAAAATTGGCTCTTATGGCATGTTATGAATTCATCTTTAAAAGCACTGGCAAATTCCAATACGCATAGTTTGTTGTTGCACACAGCCGCAACCACGTGCAACAAATGGTCACTTCAGGACGGTGAGGCTTAAGCCAAATGAATCGTCGAAATTTATAGTACAGCAGAAATTTTGTGCTTAAACAAGACCTTGTAATAATGTGCGAAATGCAGCTGAACCTATTTTTTACTTATGTGTATTGGATTACTTATCGTGTCTATTGGATCGTGCATCAGTTTCATCATATTACAGCCACGTGGATTACCTTCATGTTCTATTTGTGATCATCTTTCAGACATGCGGAGTACCTTCATCTTCCATTAGTGATAGTGTTCCAACATCAAGCGAGTGGATAATTTCTGTACATCAAGGTGATATTTTAACCTTTTATGTATTCTTGAACTATATCTTTTTTTTTTTTTTTTTTTTTTTTTTTGTTATCTGTATTTATTCATATTTATTATGGCTACTAGCAATCCTCTAGCAACTGATGACAAACAAATGGCTCGCGTTGCTGTGAAACTTGCCCCATTTTGCCATAGTGACCCCAACCTCTGGTTTTTTCAATTAGATGCACAATTCAAGCTCGGGGGTATAACACGCGTGACGACACGAAATTTTATACTGCAATTTCCGCCCTCCACACTGAGAGGGAGGACAAGGTACTGAGGTTCTTCAGTCAGTACGCGAGATTGTTCTGAAACCCCCCACGGATAATAAATACGAGGAATTGAAAAATAAATTAATTTCAGTTTATGAGGAGTCTGAAAACACCAAACTAAAACAGTTATTACAAGATTTGCAGTTATTGTCAAAAATGCAGGAGCTTGCGGGTGACAATTTTAAGTCCAATTTTTACAATCATTGTGGCTCAATCGTCTCCCGAACAATATCCAAGCTATTCTTGCCTCCAGTAACGAGAACCTACCCCAACTGGCCCAAATGGCAGACAAAATTCATGATGTTCTCCAACCACAAGCAATCAGTCAAGCATCCCAGTGTTGATATTTCATCTCTTCAACAACAAATCAGGAATTATCATTGCAGGTCGCAGCCTTACAGACACAATCTCAGTATCATCTGCGCGGAACCGAAATAATAGGGAATACCAACGCACTCATTCTGGTACTCAATCAGACATTTGTTTCTATCACAGTCGATTCGGTGATAAGGCGCACAAATGTACACCTCCATGCAAATTTCAGAAGACCTCTTTAAACTGAAGGGGCCGTCACTCGAAGCCATGAGTGACAACGGCCCGTGCATTAGTCGATTGTTCGTAACAGATAAACCATCAGGCAGACGTTTTCTTGTTGATACAGGTGCTGACATTTCGGTTGTACCTCCCTCTTTTGCCGAATCCAAACGGCGGCCGCCTGGAAAATTTAACTTATTTGCAGCTAACGGGTCAAAAATTGCAACATATGGAGAAATATTAATGTCTTTGGATCTAGGATTGCGTCGCAAATTTCAATGGCCATTTGTCATCGCTGCGGTTTCGCACCCAATAATTGGTGCAGACTTTCTGCAAAAATTTTCTCTGTTGGTCGACATTAAAAATCGACGCTTACTCGACTCCATCCATCACACAATTGTCGCGGTAGGTAGCATTGGAAATGCCACTAATTTTGGAATTAAATTAATTTCCGGTAATTCTCCTTTCCACAAACTACTTGAGCAATACCCTAACGTCATCCGCTCAGTAACTGGCAAACCGACTGCTGACCACGTTATTGTAGACGTCATAGAGACTACTGGACCACCAATCTTTGCCAAAGCACGGTGGTTGCCTCCAGAGAAATTAAAGGCTGCAAAAGAAGAATTTAAATACATGCTTGAGCAAGGAATCTGTCGGCCATCTAAAAGTTCATGGGCCAGTTCACTCCACATGGTCCCTAAGAAAAACGGGCGTCCTTGTGGGGATTATCGACGTCTTAATTCAGTTACTTTGCCTGATAGATATCCGGTTCCTCATATTCAGGACTGCATGCAAGTCTTGGAAGGCAAAAATATTTTTTCTACGTTAGATTTCACTTGTGCTTACCATCAGATCCCTGTCAATACACCTGATATACCAAAAACTGCTGTAATAACACCTTTTGGATTATTCGAATTTCCTGTCATGACTTTCGGATTATGTAACGCTGCGCAAACGTTTCAGCGCTTCATTAATGAAGTCCTTCGAGATTTAGATTTTTGTGTCCCATATTTCGATGACATTCTGGTAGCCTCGACAACTGAAAACCCAGCACCTTGAACACCTTTGCATAGTCCTTGGCCGATTTCAGTCTTATGGTGTAGTCATTAATCCATCAAAAATGTGTTTTCGGGAAATCTAAAGTGTCATTTCTTGGTCACGAAGTTTCTTCGGAGGGCGTTCGCCCACTTAGTGACAGAGTCACTGCAATTCAAAATTTCCCAGAGCCAAAAACTGTTCAGGAGCTGCGTCGTTTTTCTGGCCATGTTAAATTTTTATCGTCGCTTTCTTCCTCATGCCTGCTGAAAAGCAGGCACCTTTGCACACACATATTTGGTTGGGAGTAAAAAGAAAGATACGCGGCCAATTATTTGGTCTGATGATGCCCGTACAGCCTTTGTACAATGTAAGAATGACTTAGCGTCGGCAAACAGCTCTTAGCTATCCTTCTAAGCACCCTTTAGCATTAATGGTTGACGCGTCTAATACGGCCATGGGTGCGGTTTTGCAGCAACTGGTAGACGGAGCATGGAAGCCTCTAGCTTTCTTCTCGAAAAAATTTTCTGCAGCACAATCAAAATACAGCACGTACGACCCGCGAACTTCTTAGTGCGTATGAGGCTGTTAAACATTTTCGTCATATGGTAGAAGGTCATGTGTTTTCTATCTATACCGACCACAAGCCGCTAATTTTCGCTTTTCGACAAAAGCCTGACAAGGCTTCTCCCAGGCAAATGCGTCATCTTGATTACATAGCGCAGTTTACAACCGATTTTAGGCATGTAGAAGGCCCTCAAAATACAGTTGCTGATGCTCTGTCCAGAATTGAAGAGGTTCAGTTGCCATCAACAACAGATTTCTCCGCCATTGCTGAATGCCAGAAACAGGACCCAGAATTGCAACATCTTTTGTCTGACAAGTCTTCTCATGGACTTAATTTAGTACCTATGCAGTTAGAACCAGATCTTTCACTGTACTGCGATGTGCAAGGTAATGTGGTGCGGCCATACATTCCACTGAAATTCCGGCATGGTATTTTTAGCGGCCTCCATAATTTATCCCATCCTGGCATCCGTGCTTCTCGCACGTTAATTCAACAGCGTTTTGTATGGCCTGGTATGCAGAAGGACATCGCTGCATGGGCGAGGTCATGTACAGACTGTCAAAAATCAAAAAATTCACAGGCACACTCGAACTCCATGTCAACGCTTTGAGTTACCATCTGCTCGCTTTAGCCACGTACATATCGATTTGGTTGGACCCTTACCCCCATCACTAGGTTATACATATCTTCTTACGTGTGTCGACAGATACACACGTTGGCCAGAGGCTATCCCTATTGTAGATATGTCAGC